TGTGTATGTGTGCAATAAGTAAAAATGTAATGAATTTTAGAAAATCACAACAGATAGGTAGGTGGTATGGAAGCTACTAGAAAAGGAGAAACTTGCATTGTAGGGTCCTTACGGTACAGGAATGCTTGGGCTTCAGAGAGTCATGCACCATCAGTCAGTCAGTCAAAGGCAGATGACTCATTCCTGGTCACCTGCTCAATCTGGATCAATCAGGATCAGTGAGAATGATGGATGGTGTGGAAGTGTGTGGTCCCTCCTGCAGGTGGCGCTGCTGAGCACCGCTGCCTGCCGCCTGACTCTGGAAGATGAGGGACCATGGCAGGCAGGGCACCTCTCTGCCATCATGTTCTGCCCCCCACCCCCGGGCTCTGAGCCTGGGTAATTTATCCTCGACCCTTGAAGATCTGTTTTCCTCCAAAGCCCTCGCTTCGTTCATTTCTCGGTAGCAAGGGCTCATTTGTCCCTTGAATTTAAGGCTGCTGTGTTCCTCATTGCAATCCCAGGCACTTCCAACTTTCCTGTTCGTTTGTTCCCAGGCTTCACAGAGGCTACAATGTTCCAAAGCTCTGGTTTCCCTGTCCCTGAGCTGCCTCAATTATAAGATCATACCATACGCCTCTAGTTCTCGATGGCTCAGTAAAATAACATTTGTACCTAAGACCACAGGTTTCACAAATAAAAATACAAGACACCTGCGTCCAATGAATAACGTTTTTTTAGTTTATGCCCCAAATGCCTGGTGGACCACATTTACATAAAAATAGTGGCATTTCATCTGCAAGTGGAAATGACGTGAATAGGAAGTTTCTAACATGATGGTCTGAATGTCACGGAGTACACACGTCATCACAGTAGGCAGTGTGACAGGGACAAGGGTAGCGTGGCTTTGCCGTACTCTGATAAGCACCTGTGCTGAGCAGGCACACCATGGTAGACACGTCAGACATTTGCAACTTTCTTTCACCAAGTGTGACTGTGCTGTACTGTGACCTCGCCGAGATCAGGAGTGTCACTGAAGGTGCAGAGGTTTCCAGATGTCAGGAGGAGCCATAACAAAGCCATTGGGGTTCTAGTCAATTCTCTCTCTTCTCTCTCTAAAACATCAACTCCTCACTCATATGCCCCAAAGCAAGCTGTAGGAGGAAGAGTCATTTCTATGCCCTGGGAAGAAGTAGAGGCTATAGTAACAGGTAAGAGTCACATTGGCAACCAAGTTAGATTTTGTGGATAGAACTATTTCTTACCTTTCCCTCCCTCCCTCCCTCTTAATCTCCC